TGTGTGTGTGTGTGTGTGTGTGTGGAGTACGTGTGTGTTATTCCAGTAATTCTTTTATCTACTTCTCACACCCTGAGCTTTATGAACATTCATCAAAATAATTGACACGGATGAAATTAGCACTTCCTGCTATGTCGGGCAGATAAACTTTGCTGAATATTGATTTCACACAAAGAAAATGACATGTGCTTAGGCCTAACCCTTTATCTGGCCGGGCCAGGGAAATACGGCAGGAGGGGGACGGGCCGGCCGCCGCCGGTGGAGAAGCGGCCATAAGAATTACTTTTATCTCTTCTTCCACAAGAAGACAAGGGAAGATAAGGAGCCAGAAAGAGAGAAAGCACAGCCCTGGGCATTGGGGAAATCCGCAGAAGGCGTGGGACAGGGCAGCACTCCGGGGACTGGGGGGACCGGAGCCGATAAATTCAGAAGAGGAGGAACAGGGTGGGAAAGGCTGAGGGGGATGGGTCCTGGGGGACAGGGGGCTGAGGGGAGCTGGCTGGCCTTGGGTTCAAATCCCAGTCCAGTCGCTTAAAATGAGGGTGACCAATCATTCCAGTTTGCCCGGACTGAGGGGTTTCCTGGGATGCTGGAATGGCAGTCTTAAGCAAGTCGGGACAGGTGGGCATCCTACAGTTTAGCTTCATGGCACCAAACCAGCTGGTCCTCAGTGTTTTGGCTTTTTTTCCTTTTAAGATTTGTTTATTTATTGGCTGCTCTGGGTCTTCATTGCTGCATGAGGGCTTTCTCTACTCGAGGTAAGTGGGGGCGACTCTTCGTTGCGCTGAGGGCTTCTCATCACGGAGGCTTGCTGCAGAACACAGGCTCTAGGCACACGGGCTTCAGCAGCTACAGCTACTGAATGTAGCTGCTGCAGCTACTGTGGGTTGTGGGTCAGTAGTCGTGGCTCGCCGGCTCTAGAGCACAGGCTCAGTAGTTACAGCTCACAGGCTTAGTTTCTCCGTGGCATGTGGGATCTTCCTGGACCAGGGATTGAACCCACGTCCCCTACATTGGCAGGTAGATTCTTATCCACTGCACCACCAGGGAAGCCAGGCCCTCAGTTTTCTTATTTGTAGGAATGACTTACCTCTCTGGTCTGGGACAGGGACAGAAGTGAAAACCCCTTGGAGTTGTGACATGTGGAACGCCCAATCTTAAGAGATAAATTCTAGATCAAGGTCACCTCCTCCCAGAAGCACTCCCTGATCACCCCAGCTCATAAAACTCCATGTTCCATGAAGGCCCCCAGCTCCAACTGCCTGGCTTTTTCTTCCAAAACAGAGTAATGCAGAAGAGGCAGTTTCAGAAATGCTGTATTCCTCCCTTCACCTTTGATTGCAAATCATGTACTTGCTACTGTCTGGGGCCAGGCAAGTCTCTGAGATGGGTAACGTTTTCCCTATGATGGCCAAGTTCACTTTGCTGAAGGCCTACTATGTGCCAGGAGCTATGTGAGGAGGAGCAGGAGGTGTGACGGCTGACAGCCAACGGCCATGCCTTCCTCTTCACAGGAGAATCCCTAAACATCCTCAGGGTCTTGGGCTTACACTTAGCAAAATGTTTGGTCACACCCCACCCCAAAAAGGAAGCAGGCTGGCTTTGAGGTCAGACTCTAGATGGGGTCCCTGCCACTCCTGAGTCACTACCCAGGTTCTCATGACATGTGGGGAGCATGACTGACTGTCGTGCCCTGACTGGTTCATTCATGGGAGCACAATGAGTGGCAAGTGACCAGCAGAAAGGAGAAAAAAAGGCATTGGGAAAGTAGGTAGGAAAGTGTAATTGTTAGGGTGATTCAAGAACTGTCTAGGCCTGGGTTGATTCCCAGGAACACCTTTTACTGTGTCACCAGAGGAAAAAAGCTGTCCTTGCTTTATTTTCCTCTTCATTGAAAAGTGGACCTAGGGACTTCCCTGGAGGTCCAGTAGTTGAGAGGCTATGCTTCCACTGCAGCGGGCATGGGTTCAATCCTTGATCCAGGAACTAAGATCCCACATGCTGCATGGTGCAGCCAAAAAAAAAAAAAAAACCAGAAAGAAATAAAAATGGGCTTATAATAGGAGCCACCTTGTAAGATTAAGTAAGGCACAAATGAGCTAAAAATATTTTAAGGAGCTTAAAATAGCACCTGGCATGGGGCAAGTGTTTGCCATCTTTATCAGAATAAGAGGTGCTGTGTTGTATGACATGGAACACAATGGGAAGGGCATCCCCTGGGGTATGCAATGTGGATTCTCACAATCACCTCACAGTCATAATAGGGACAATTCTGGATCAAGGTCACCTCCTCCTAGAAGCCCTCCCTGACCACCTCAGCTCACTTCTGCATGCCATGATGGTTCACTGCCACACCTACCTGGCTCACTCCAGAAGCATTTGGGAGTGTGCAGGCAAGGTCGGGCTCTCTTGGTCATCTCCACACCCACTCAAAGCCTCTGGGGCACAGCAGACTAACTATACTGAGAAGAGCATGTTTGCCAGCAGGCAGCCCACCCCCCAGACCCCACGAGATGCTTCTCTCTTCTCTAGTAAAGCTTGATCAGGATGTAAGAATAACATGTCATTCACTGAGTCTTGTCTGCTGCCATAATGCCTTATATTCTCATTTAAACCTAAAAACACTATAACATGGGCAGTAGTAGCCTCATTCTTCAGATTAGGGAATTGAGTCTCAGAGCAGAAGTCACCTGGCGGAGGTCACCAGCTGGAGCTTAAAAAAGGCATTGGGAAAGTAGGTAGGAAAGTGTAATTGTTAGGGTGATCCAAGAACTGTCTAGGCCTGGGTTGATTCCCAGGGACACCTTTTACTGTGTCACCAGAGGAAAAAAGCTGTCCTTGCTTTATTTTCCTCTTCATTGAAAAGTGGACCTAGGGACTTCCCTGGAGGTCCAGTAGTTGAGAGGCTATGCTTCCACTGCAGCGGGCATGGGTTCAATCCTTGATCCAGGAACTAAGATCCCACATGCTGCATGGTGCAGCCAAAAAAAAAAAAAAAACCAGAAAGAAATAAAAATGGGCTTATAATAGGAGCCACCTTGTAAGATTAAGTAAGGCACAAATGAGCTAAAAATATTTTAAGGAGCTTAAAATAGCACCTGGCATGGGGCAAGTGTTTGCCATCTTTATCAGAATAAGAGGTGCTGTGTTGTATGACATGGAACACAATGGGAAGGGCATCCCCTGGGGTATGCAATGTGGATTCTCACAATCACCTCACAGTCATAATAGGGACAATTCTGGATCAAGGTCACCTCCTCCTAGAAGCCCTCCCTGACCACCTCAGCTCACTTCTGCATGCCATGATGGTTCACTGCCACACCTACCTGGCTCACTCCAGAAGCATTTGGGAGTGTGCAGGCAAGGTCGGGCTCTCTTGGTCATCTCCACACCCACTCAAAGCCTCTGGGGCACAGCAGACTAACTATACTGAGAAGAGCATGTTTGCCAGCAGGCAGCCCACCCCCCAGACCCCACGAGATGCTTCTCTCTTCTCTAGTAAAGCTTGATCAGGATGTAAGAATAACATGTCATTCACTGAGTCTTGTCTGCTGCCATAATGCCTTATATTCTCATTTAAACCTAAAAACACTATAACATGGGCAGTAGTAGCCTCATTCTTCAGATTAGGGAATTGAGTCTCAGAGCAGAAGTCACCTGGCGGAGGTCACCAGCTGGAGCTGGGACTTGTACCTGGTGGGCCTTAATTACCACCCTCTTCTGCCTCCCCTTGGAGGTCACTGTAAGAGGCAGCTGTGATGACCTGGAGAGTCCAACAGGCCAGAGTTCAAGTCTTCCTCCTGCCACTTCCGGAGTGACCTTGCAAGAATCCCATAACCTCTCCAAACATCCATTTTACCTGCCTCCCTGTTAGGGAGGATTTATGGTCAGAGGGGAAGTACCCAGCACAGTGCTGAGAGCCCAGTGACTTGCAAAGAGATGCTCCAGGTACCATTCCTACAGAGGTAGGAGTGTGCCATGGTCAGAGCCCCACCCAGCACCCCCTCTATGAAGGGCAAGATCAGATCTTGATCATTCCTAACGCCCCTCTGGCCTGACTAGGTCTTGGCCTTGACCGTTTGGGAGCAAACTATCCCTACTTCAGCTCCAGTCAGGCCCCGCCAGGCTCAGAGACCAGTCAGGTCTGAGATGTTCAAGCTCAGCCATGCCACACCGTTTCCCCGGGCACTGGGCGGCAGCCCCACCCCCTGGCCATTCCCCACTCGGTGCCCAAGTCTCACGTCCCAACGGGGGGCCGTGGGGCTGCGGCTAATTGCAAATCATTTCTCAGGGCTCCCCGCTGTTCAGCTAAATTCACTGGAACTAATGGGTCCCGAAACAAATTTCACAGAAGAGCCAGGGCAATTACATGATGCTTAGTTCCCGACTCCCCACCTCCCCCAGCAGAGGCTCCGGACTGGGGGCAGAGAGGACTGGGTGGAGTGGGACAGGGAACATGGATGCCGGGTGGCTTCTAGGAGCCAAACCCCTCCTCCATCCAGCCCTCCCAAATCTTATCACCTTGATCACACTGTCCAGCATCACCCCTCCTTGGGCCCTCCTCCCTCCCAACACCTCCATTATCTTCATTTTCAAGCTGAGGACACATCGAGATACAATGAAAAAGGTAAGCACTGAACCAGACAGACTTGAGTTCAAAACCCAGCTTCAGCACTCATGAGTTGTGTGTCCTTAGAAAAACCACTTAGCGTCTCTGAGCCTCTGTTTCCTAGTCCCTGGAATGGGGACACCAAACTCTGGCATTGGCTATGGTGATGACTAGAGAGAATCACATAAAATAGTTTATGTGGACCCAGAACATACTAGGCCCTCAACAAATATTGGTCCCTTCCAGCACCTACTTTATACGATCCTTTCAAGGTGATCAGGCGAACGTCTTCTCAGAGTATCAGAATCAATTCAAAGCAAGAGAACCAGAAAGCAAAGACCCAGTCTCACCTCCTCGAACAAGGGACTAAATATGCAATCTCTTTACTTACTGTTTTCTCCTCTCATCTCAGCCTTATCTTTTCAGAACCTCCTGCTTCCTCCTCAGACCCGCAGCATTTCCCATGAGCCTCTCCGAGAGCTTTATTTCATCCTGCATCCCCAGTTTATTGGTTGACGGAAATCACTTTAGAACTCTGTGGCCAAGCTGACTTGTGGAGACCGTTCAGGCCAGTCGCTGGTGACCATTTTTCTATCACAGGACTCACGGCAGGCAGGCCCAGGTCCTGCAAAGGAAAACAATAATTTGTCATCAAGATCGCCTGCAACAGGGGCTTCCCTGGCGACTCAGTGGTAAAGAGCAGCCTGCCAATGCAGGAGACACGGGTTCAATCCCTGATCGAGGAAGATCTCACATGCTGCAAAGCAAATAAGCCCGTGCACCAGAACGGGAAACTAGAGAAAAGCCCACACAGAGGGAAGACTCGACACCGCCAAAAATAAAACTAAATAAGAAATTATTTTTANTTTCCATTTACAGAGACTGACTGAGGTCGTACTCAGGAGAGAGGTGATTCCACACAGATTAGACCTCAGAACATGCTTTCCCTACCTCTATATCAGTTCCTGCAGGACCCTGAGGAAAAACTAACTGATCATACAGATCATTTTTAAAATATTTCAACCAATGTGTTTTTATTACTGGTGATTGATATATACCAGCATATTGATAGTTAACTGTAATGTATCAAAGTCAAATTTCTTTCACTAGCCACAGCTGAATGTGAATCACAAGTAATTGCTCATGAACATGGTTTGGTTAAAATTTCCTCAGAGAACCACCAATAAAAGTTATTAAAAATCAGTATCATGATTTAGAAGTACAAATCAATCTTTTAGGGTGTTTTTCTTTAAACCTATATTTACTGATGGAAAAAATTAAACTTAAATCTATTAAAATTAGATCAGCGTAGGCTTAGTAAGTTCACCAAAAGGATGTATTGACGGTGGAAAGTAAAACAATAAAGAAAATCTATTACATGTTAAGGATTTAACCTGATATACAATATAATATAACATATTCTGAAAGTGAAAGTCGCTCAGTTGTGTCACACTCTTTGTGACCCTTAAAATTCTCCAGGCCAGAATACTGGAGTGGGTAGCCTTTCCATTCTCCAGGGGATCTTACCAACCCAGAGGTCGAACCCAGGTCTCCTGCATTGCAGGCAGACGCTTTAACCTCTGAGCCACCAGGGAAGCCCTAATCAAAAATCCCTGTAGTGGATGGTTTGGTGATGAGAATAATCCACCTGTGATTTATCTGCTTCGGAAGTTTGGTATCACTTTTAAGCACTGTGAACACATCTGTGTTCCTGTCCAGAAATAAAAAACTATTTAAGAAAAACTTAACTTGGGGGGGCTTCTCTGGGAATCCATTGGTTAGGACTGGGTACTTTCACTGCAGAGGGTGAGGGTTCAATCCCTGGTTGGACAACTGAGATCACACAAGCTGTGCATGGCCAAAACAAACAAAAACAAAAACCCTAACTCAGTTGAAAGGGGGGCCATTCTTTCATGTCAGAGAGCATCTCTGGAGGCAGAGGCTGTGTAACTTGTCTCTGGGCACCCCTAGCTAACAGCAAGCAAAGAGCAAGAATAAAAGCAATCCCTTTTAAGGCAGTGATGATACTACCCTTACTATATACTCAGTGATTGCCAAGGACTTCCATTAACTCTTCATCTAATCCTCATAACATGAAAGAAGGTGGGCTTTACTGTTGTCCCCATTTTACAGATGGGGATACTGAGGCTCAGAGAGGTGAAGCCACTTGCCCAAGTTCATACAGCCTCACACAGGACTCAAGCCAGGTAACAATTAAATCCATGTTCTGAAATTTGAGGTCTATTTTGAGGAAGGAAAGAGGGAAGGAAGGACTATTTACTATTAAAACTCACTCTCTTTGTCATCCAGTGCCTCTTTTTTTAAACCTTAGATGATTCTCCTCCTCAAAGGGGTAGGGGGTGAGCAGGGGGGAGGGCAGAGTTTCAGCCATGGCTGGCTGAGAACTGGCCTCTGTCACCACAGGGTCTCTGGCACTCAGGATCTTTTTTCTTCTTCCCTGAGGTGCTTGTTCCCAACCTCTCCTCCAGTTTCCTTATTCCCTCTTCCAAAGTCCCCAGTAGAGAGTGGGGGCAGGGGGACACAGAGAATATATACACACACGAGTAAGTTGTCTCTTGTGACCCCACCTGCCCTTGGCTAAATGAATGCAGTGTCAGCCCAGATAATTCCAAAGCCATAAAGATGATATAAAAAAAAAGTGGGGGAATTGGTGCTGGGGAGGGATGGTGGTGGAGGAGATTACAAAAAAGGAGGATGAGCTGTGTGGCTTTGCTCCTTATCTAACCCGCAGCAGGCCTGGCTGGGGGCTGTCTCTCTCCAGGGGAGGAATCAGTGCCACCACCCCAGCCAGGGTGCCCCCTCCTCGGTCCCGCCCCTCCCCCCCCCAACACCCACAGTGCAGCAGGAGGCCCCAGAGGAGGACTCACCCCAGCAGAAGCCCAGGATCAGTCTGGGAGGCATTAACAGCTGAGTAGGAGGTGGTGAGTTGGGGTCTCCAAGAACTATCTCCAAGGCTGGGGGCTGGGGACCTAGGGGCCTGCCTGCCTGCCTACCTGGGAGACCCAAGACACAGACCCCAGGTGAGAGGGGACAGTGTCCCAGGATGCTAGAGGTCACTCTTGGACAACTTGGTTATTTTTCTGAATATTTGACTCTGGAAAATAGGGCAGGGCAGGGCATATAATCACTGGACTGATACCTCTGAGCCTCAGCTTCCCCATCTGTACAATGGGCTCCATGAAGCTCCTACCCACGCCCTTCTTTCCTGAGATGTTAACACAACTGTTTGTGGGAGGAAGAGGGGCAGGGGGCGGGGCAGCAAGCCAATTGCAGAGGCTAAGACTCTCCACCAAGGGCATACTTTGTCCTGGAGAGAGATGGACAGACAGACCCATTCACAGAAACAGAGAATTAAAGCAGCAAAGAGAGACAGAGTAAGATGGTCAGAAACAGAGAGGAAGAGAATCGGAGAGGCAGAGAGATGGAGACAGTGAGACATACAGAGATGGACCCAGGGATGGAGACAGAGACAGAGTCAAATAGAGAGATGGAGCGAAATAAGAAGGAATAACGGAGAGGCAAAGAAATGGAAACACAAAGGTGGAGAGAGAGATAGAGACAGGGAGACAGTCACGGGCAGACAGAGAAAGAATGGAGAAAGGAAGAAAGAGAGAAGAAGGGAGAAAGGATGGGAAGTAGGGAGGCGGGGAGGAACAGAGAGAGAGAGAGAGAGAGAGAGCTAANCCCCCCACCCCCACCCCACCCCCATCCTTCCGAACACGGCAGGGTTTTCTGGCGCCTTTGTGGCCGGCCCCGAAGTGCGCGGCGACAATGGCGAGGGTGACGGGGGTTAATTCGCGCGCGGAGGTAGGACGCGCGGGCGCCGGCCCGAACAATGCCCGCGGCGCGCCTTTGAGGCGGCCCATTGTGCGCTGTGTGAAACGGGAAATCTGTTCCCTGCGCCCAGATGCGGGCCGGCCCGCGGTGGGGGCGGCGGTCTGGGAGTGAGCCCGGGCCGGGGCGGCTGGGGCTGCCGTTCCGCGTTTGGGTGGATTTTAACCCCTGTCTGGTCCTCTCCGCATCCTTGAACTCTGTGCTGGGGAGGGCCAAGGGCGGCGGGAGGTCAAGGGTCTCCTCCCGCCCTGCGCCTGGTAGGCTGTGTGACGTGGGACAAGCCCCTGTCCCTCTCTGAGCCTCCCTTCCCCACCTGCGGACTCAGAGGAGGGGTTTCGACCCCTGACTCGGTCTGCGGGGCTGAAACTTGGACCTGGAAGGGGTCCACAGCTCAGGCAGAGTGAGCAGGCCTGACGCTCACACAGGCTTCCCAGCAAAATGGGGTCTCTACATCCCGCAGTGATGATGTCAGCCTCTGACCGCCCGCCTACCCCTTTTGACCAGTTCCAAACATCCAGCTCCACCAACACTCGCTGTGTGACCCTGGGGGAGCCTCCGACCCTCTCTGTGCCTCTCTTCCTTCTTCTGGGCGATGGAAAGCATTCTACCACCTTCCTTAGGGAGCCATTGTGAAGACTGAAGCAGGTGATGAATGTCAGGCTCCTAGTGGGGTCTGCTTTGTAGATACATAAAGCAAAATAACAATTAGATTTACTGAGCCCTCACTGTGTGCCAGGAACTGCTCTACTTTTAGGATATATATTTTTTACTGCCTTTTACAAACACACACACACATTATATATATATATATATATATATATATATATATATATATATTACATATATGTAAAACATTTACTGAACTCCATTATTCGCTAAGGTGGCCACTTAATCTAATGCCTCTGCTCATCCATATGGTGGAGACAATGCTTCTTACCACGCAAGGTAGCATGGACTCTCCAAGTCCTCTTTCAGAAGCCTCTGTGCTGGAGTAGGACAGACATGGACCCCTTTCCTCTCTTTCCATCTCTCCATCCCCTAGCGGGGTGGTTTCCATCAAGACCCCCACAGCATGGTCCATCTCCTTGGAGAAAGGACCTTCCGGGTGGACATGACCCAGGCACCTCTTCTCTCAACACCTAGTGAACAAACCCTTAATGACTGAGAAGTGGGGCTCCCATTCAGTGTGGGGGTGCTGGTGGGAGCAGGGGGAGAATGGGGGACTGATGGAAAGAACCCTGCGAGGGTGTAGGGGTGTCTCATGGGTTTCCCTGGGAAGCATCTCTTTGCTGGTATCCTCACTCACATCGGTCCATGGTTTGAAGGACTTGGATGATTCTTCCAAAATCACGGAGAAGGAAACTGAATTTCAGAGACGCTCATCTGAAGCTTCTGGGGGCTTCCCTGATGGCTCAGCATGTAAAGAATCCTCCTATAAAGCAGGAGACACGAGATACGTGGGTTTGATCCCTGGGTCGGGAAGATCCCCTGTAAGGAATTGGCAACCCACTCCGGTATTCTTGCCTGAAAAATCCCATGGACAGAGGAGTCTGGCAGGCTACAGTCCAACAGGTCCCAAAGAGTCAGACACAACTGAGCAACTACCCACACAGCACCCCTTCTAAGGTCATCCACAGCTTAAGAGCACATATGGACGCTCCAGAACCTCTTCCCCCCAAAAGTGCCTGCCTGTCTGTCTACCCACAGAACATCCGCCTTACAACTCCAGGGCCCCCACATTCACCCTGCAGCTGACTGAGAAGTTCCATGGTAGCAAAGAGAATCCAAAGCTGAAATACGGATCTGGGCTTTACCAGGCTCACCATATGGACCAAACTGGTGGTCTCCTTTAGCAAAAGCATTGGTCAGGCACTTATGGTTTCCTGGCATTCAGAATCAGGGTGTTAACACTTCATACACCCAGCCCCCAAATTGAGTTTGATGTTGGGTTGGTGTACGCTGTATCCAGGCCGAGCATAGGGTTGACCCACCGTCCTCCAGGTGGTGCTCATGCAGGTGGCCTGCAGGATGCCTTTGGAGAAACCTCGTGCAGGAAGTCGGTGAGAATGTACACCATCGTCACTTCCGGCCCCTGTCTTTCTCACCCTGCTTTTGCACCCTGCCCTTCATCTTCCCTCATCTATTTCAAGTCCTCTGAAAACCTCCTTCCCAAGAGAAAGTTGAAGCCCAGTCTCCGCTCTCCCTGAACAGTGCTCTCTTTTCCACGAATAGCGTGGACGGGGCTCTGAAAAGCCCCAGACTGTTGGGAGGCAGGGGGAGCAGCGGTGAGCGGCAGGTGCCTACGGGACCCTGCGTGCCGGGACGGGCACAGATGGAGTGGCTCTGGACTGGGGGCAAGGGGCAGATGCAGCCACCCCTGGAGCCTCAGCTGCCTTGTTATCTCTTCATTGTCTTCCTGTCACCCCAGTCCACCACCCCCTCCCCGGCCGCCCTTCTGTCATCTCCACGTGCCCCGCCCTCCCCCATGGGGCCATGGGGTGAGTGGGAGGGAGGGTGCTTGGCTGGAGAGGCCGGGGATGGGGGTGTCAAAGTCTATAAATCACGCCCCACTGCGCTCCTGTTTAACACACACTTCTCCGACGAGTTGTCAGTGAAACCGTTAATTAATTAGCTAATCCCGCAATGAAGTGGATTCTAAATGGCTCTCCCCCTCCCAGCCTCCCATTTAGATAATTGCTGCTGAGGGATCTTTTGTGAGTCATTTTTTTCCAACAGGGATGGCCCTCCTGGAACACGGAGGGAGATGAATTTAAAGAAGGGGTCAGCCACTGTCCCCCAAGCTATGATGAAGGGGAGACAACCCAAGCAAAAGCTGGAAAAGGCAGTTGGCTTTTGGAGGTGAGATGAGACGTAGGCAAAGGGAACTGAGTTTCGGTGTTTGCGGGTCTGTTCTACATCGCTATGATGCTTTGAGACTCTGTGGGAATCTTCCTAGGGCAGGGGTCTGAGGCTGGTAATAATAATAATAACCAGGATGATGGTGATGATGACTACTGCCAAATTGTTGCCTGGAGAATCCCATGGACAGAGGAGCCTGGTGGGCTACAGCCCATGGGGTCTCAAAGAGTCAGACATGACTGTGGGACTAACACTTTCACTTTTTTTTTTTTTTCACGGAATGGTAAACATGGGTCAAGCATCTCACTACATGCTTTACATGCATGTTCTCATTCATCCTTCTCACAACAGCTCTATGAGTAGGTAGGTAGGTTGATGGAGGCTGGGGAAACAGAGGTTCCAAATGAGGAGGTGAATTATCCCAGGCCACAGAGTTGGGAAGCAACAGAGACTAGAACGAAACAAAGCTGTCTGACCTCAGAGCCAACAGTCTTAAGTATGAAAGGGTTTTAGGAAGGTCTGCACCTTTCCCAGAGGGGTACTGAGGTCTTTAAATAGGGATGTGATGAACTTGAAATCACACAGGAGAATAAGGAATATGTGATGACTGAATGAAACCCAACTCTTCTGACATATGACTCAGCATTCAGAAACTTTGCTGATCCTCTGTTGACCTTCATTGGGAGTAATGGAGAAAACATGGAGAAAAAACAGAGAACCTCTGTTTCCCCAACCTCCATCATCTTACCTACTCATGGAGCTGTTGTGAGGAGGATGAATGAGAACATGCATGTAAAGCATGTAGAGAGATGCTTGGCCCATGTTTAGCATTCCATGAAAAAAAAAAAAAAGTGAAAACTGTTAGTCGCACAGTCGTCTCTGACTCTTTGAGACTCCACGGGCTGTAGCCTGCCAGGTTCCTCTGTCCATGGGATTTTCTAGGCAATAATTTGGCATGTCCATGTACATCCTAGTGTGGAAACAGATGACCTTACCTGTCCCCACTTGTGTTGCCTCCATCTCCATGGTCTCCACCCATGTAGTTTCACTAGAGCTGACCCCATCTGCAGCCCCAGACACTCCCCAAGCCTGATGAATCCCAGTATGTTTTCCACCACAAATTCTGTTCTCAGCCATACTGGAGTAAGTCAGAGATGGATGTCTGACCCCCTCAGTGCTACTAGGAAAGAAGTGTTCTTCTTTCTTGGGATTGCTAACATGATAGCATAGCAAAGTCAGCTTGCAGTTGCTAAAAGCCATTTTGCCACCCAGAGTGGAGCCACACAGAGAAACCGCAATTAATAACAACATTATTTGAGCACCTGGATCCAGCCATGCCTGAAACCCATTTTCGTCAGGATTCTCTCCTTTTATCTTTAGTTGTGTGTGTGTGTTAGTAGCTCAGTCATGTCCAACTCTGCAACCCCATGAACTGTAGCCTGCCAGCTCTTCTGTCCATGGGATTGTCCAGGCAAGAATGCTGGAGTGGGTAACCATTCCTTTCTCCAGGGGATCTTCCCAACCCAGGGATCGAACCCAGATCTCCTGCATTGCAGGTAGATTGTTCATTGTCCGAGCCGCCAGTTACATAAGTTCTATTGGTATGGTAGCTGCTGCTGGTCACCTATCAGTATCCATTTTTCCTCTCTTCCTTATCCACACTATCCAGATTTTGCTTGAGGCCGCAATGCAGCTAACTGAAATGTTTGCTCAGACC